GCGTGTGCGTGTGCGTGTGCGTGTGTGCGTGTGCGTGTGCGTGTGCGTGTGCGTGTGCGTGTGCGTGTGCGTGTGCGTGTGCGTGTGCGTGTGCGTGTGCGTGTGCGTGTGCGTGTGCGTGCGCGTGCGCGTGAGCGTGCGCGTGCGCGTGTGTGTGTGTGTGTCGTGTGTGTGCGTGTGTGTGTGTTGTGTGTGTGTGGGTGTGTGTGTGTGTGTGTGTGTGTGTGTGTGTGTGTGTGTGTGTGTGTGTGTGTGTGTGTGTGTGAGTGTGTGTGTGTGTGTGTGTGTGTGTGTGTGTGTGTGTGTGTGTGTGTGTGTGTGTGTGTGTGTGTGTGTGTGTGTGTGTGTGTGTGTGTGTGTGTGTGTGTGTGTGTGTGTGTGTGTGTGTGTGTGTGTTTGTGTGTGTGTGTGTGTTTGTGTTTGTGTTTGTGTGTTTGTGTGTTTGTGTGTTTGTGTGTTTGTGTGTGTGCGCGCGTGCGCGCGTGCGCGCGTGCGTGCGCGTGCGTGCGCGCGTGCGTGCGTGCGTGCGTGCGTGCGTGCGTGCGTGCGTGCGTGCGTGCGTGGGAGGGAGGGAGGGAGGGAGGGTGGGTGGGTGGGTGTGTGTGTGTGGGCGTGCGTGTGCGTGTGCGTGTGCGTGTGCGTGTGCGTGTGCGTGTGCGTGTGCGTGTGCGTGTGCGTGTGCGTGTGCGTGTGCATGTGCGTGTGCGTGTGCGTGTGCGGGCGCGGGCGCGCGCGCGCGCGTGCGTGTGCGGGCGCGTGTGCGGGCGCGTGTGCGTGTGCGTGCGTGTTCGTGCGCGTGTGCGTGTGCGTGTGCGTGTGCGTGTGCGTGTACACGTGTGCGTGCGCGTGTGCGTGCACGTGTGCGTGCGCGTGCGTGCGTGCATCCGTGTGCGTGTCTCATGTGAGTGAGTGTGTGTGTGTGTGGGTGTGTTGTGTAAGTATGTGTTGCACGTGTGTGTGTGTTGTGTGTTGTGTTTGTGTGTGTGTGTGTGTGTGCGCGTGTGTGCGTGTGCGTGTGTGTGTGTGTGTCGTGGGTTGTGTGTTGCGCGTTGCGTGTTGCGTGTTGCGAGTTGCGTGTAGTGTGTTGCGTGTTGCGTGTTGCATGTTGCGGGTGGCGGACTGCGTGTTGCGTGTTGCGTGTTGCGCGTCGCGTGTTGCACGTTGCAGGTGGTGGGTTGCGTGTTGCATGTTGCGTCTGGGTATGGGTGCGGGTGCGGATGTGGGTGTGGGTGTGGGTTCGTGTGCGCGTGCGCGTGCTTGTTCGTGCGCGTGGGCCTTTGCGTGTGCGTGTGCATGTGTGGCGCGTATTGTGTGTGTGTGTGTGCGTGTGTATGTTGTGTGGGTTGTGGGTGTGTGTCTCTGTGTGTCTGTGTGTCTGTGTGGGGTGTGTGTGTGTGTGGTGTGCCTGTGGGGGTGGGGCTGGGGTTTGTGTAGGGTGTGGATGTTTGTGGGTGTGCGTGTGTATGTGGTGTGTGTGTGTGTGTGTGCGTGTGATTGTGTGTGTGTCTCTGTGTCTTTGCGTGTGTGTGTGTGTTGTCTGTGGGTGTGTGTGTGTGTCTTTGTGTGTGTGTGTGTGTCTTTGTTTGTCTTTGTGTCTTTGTGTGTCGTTGTCTCTTTGTGTCTTTGTGTGTCTTTGTGTGTGTGTGTGTGTCGTTGTGTGTGTGTGCGTGTGTCTTTGCGTGTTTGTGTTGGTGATGGTGTTGGTGTTGGTGTTGGTGTTTCTGTTTGCTTGTGCTTTGTGTGTGGTGTTTGCAAGTTGTGATTTCGAAGGCGGTGCCCCCCAGAGTTGAAAACACCGCACTATGGCAGAGCTTCTGGGGCCCTGCGGCCTCCTCAAACTTAACGCAGGACTTCTCCCGGATCTCCTGCACACAAACAAAACAAACGCCACTTGGAGTGTGTCGCATTTGCGTCCCACGTCCTCCATGGCTGACAGAATAGCCGTTTTGGCGTTGCTTCCGATACTGGGATCCCAGGCATACCTGGGCCACATTGACATTCGTTAGCATCATGAGGCTGAGAAAAGGATTCTTTTGAGAGTCGCCTGAGATGACTGTCGTGTTTCTGTCCACCATTAGCAAGTGAATCAACCGCCAGTCATTCCTGATGCGCATGTGTTGGCATCCGTTGACACAAGCGTCAATACCTCACGTTGTGTCGCTGTGCAATGGGTCAACAAACTGCGTTGCTCATGAAAAAAGAAAAACTAAACCCATCTCTTTGAGCAACCGGTTGAGAGTGACAGCTTCTTGCGCAACGGGTTGACAACCTCAAGCAGTCTTCACGGGAGACGTTCTGTGACACTGCTGTCGAGTCAAAGTAGTGAATGGCACTTCCACCCTGCTGACAGCAAAAAGTCACAACTATGTGGCTGCAAAGAAGAGCTCGTTGACACGTGTTGGTGTCACTTCAAGCTTTAAGTTCCGTGTGAGGCGCAAATTAGGGCTCACAACGACACCAAAAGCATCTTACGCATATGAATGACTAGGTCCAAAAAGAGCATCCTGAGTCAGAGTTGCCAAAAGGCCTGGATGGCCGGACAAATACAAGGCTGCTGAGTGACTTCATTGTCTTGTCATTCCAAGGATAGCCCCGCGCGATGCGAGGCCCCGCCCAGGTATCTTGCAGTCGGCGCTCCTCAGACGAGAGTCAGGCTGTGGAGACTGATCAACATTGAAAAGCTATCCAGCGGTCAGCTCAAGCGCCACCAAAACAAAATGTATCCCTCCAAAATGGCTGGCCGCGTCCGTAGGCTCCTGTGGCTGCCTCTGGCACACGTGGCGGTGCAAGATCAAGGCGCTTGTGAAACAAGGGTTGATAAATCCCCGTTTGTCCAAAGAATACGCTGGGAATCAGTGCGACTTTCTGGATCTCAAGAATCGGCGCTCCTGGCCAACCTCATCTTCGTAGAAATAGCTGTCACCGACTTCCTCTCCCAGCGAAAGCGATACCAAAAGGCCTCACGCCAACGCACAATCTGGGCCAGCCAACGTTACCATAACTTTCGTTGAATAGGCCAGGACAGACTTTGTACGTTGGCCAAATGCAGCTGTTATAGCCCTATCTGCCCAGTGTTCTTCATTGTATACCAAACCCAGACCTCAAGACTCCCAGAAATGTGACTCACACAAATCAAGGAGCTCAGGCCAAAGAAGTTTTTTGCACGTAGGCTGCTCTGCCAAGGTGCGTTGCTCCTCCACGGACATGTCTGACGAGGGTTCCTTGCTAAGTCATGCAATTTGGTGTCTCCACAACCCCTTTCTTTCTGCACCTGCAAAAGCATGAATGTGTGCAAAGTGTGAAATACGTCCTAGTTGCGGCACCTGCCCAGAGCTCTGGCGAGCAGAATAGCTACAAACTCTTTCGTCATGGCAAGCGCAAACCACAACAATTGTCATTTATCATACCAGAGAGAAAACTGGAAGATGTGAACCAGCACCCAGTGTTCAATGTTGAGGAAAAAATGCAGAGTGGCACGCCTACCCTGCGTGTTGGAGACTTCATGTCCACAGGTTGAAACCATCGATGACTTGTTTGATACATGAAGTCTTGAAGTCGGAAAGCTCGCACTGTAGCCTTGCCAGGTTGCCCAACCTGGGGATGTAATGCCGCTTCAAGTTTTGCCTGTCACTTGGAAAGTGGTGTAGTCCGAGACAAATCAGATGATGGACGATCAACCGTGATGCATCTGAAGCTCATCACTCATCTTCTCGGAGACGTCAAAGCAGCCAGACGCCGTTGTGTGCTGCAGTGAAGCGGGAGACATCGCACGCCATCTCTCTAGCTCTCTCTCTCTCTCTCTCTCTGTGTCTCTCCAAGGCAAGATCATAGCAAATTATCAAGCCTCTCCGAGTGTCGCCATGCTCAGCAAAAACTCGTTGCCTCAATTGCGTTCAGGACTTCGAGCCACTGCTCCTTACCCACAAAGCTCTGCGTCTCCAACTCCTTGACCTGGGACGCTACGCAGCGCTTGCGCTTGCATTCTGAAAATCGTCCAATCGTTGTGAACAATGCGCATTCACGCGGTGAAAGTGTGATCAATCGTTGTGACAAGCCCTTGGGTCTGACATGTAGGACAAGAGCTTCTTGCAGGCTCTCTCCTAGCTTTTCGGGTAATCAGACCTTACCTCTCGCCACGCAGGCAATACGCCCAATTGTGAATCTTCGTACACTCCAACTTGAACCCCTCTTCTCCCTTGGCTCCGAAACCTAAACTCTCCCGCCTTCTGCGCAGCTTGCAAGGCTTGTTGCATCTCAGCACAGCTGCCAAGGCAGCTGGTGGAAGTCTTGCCGTCGCCGCAATGCCTGGGAGCCGGGCCGGAGCCGGAGTGAACAATCTGTACAGGCACTCTAACATCAGGTTGGCAAAGAACAGCGGCATCAATATGCGTGGGCCAGCCTGACAATCGGCTTTGCCTACTTGCTGAGACCTGAAAATGCTGACAACTTTGAGACCCGAGGACTCCGATTTTGTGAAACCATGGGAATGGTGGCGCAGTCCAGTGCAAGTAAACGCAACTCCTGATAGTGATTCATGTTGTGTAGGCAATGAAATGATCTATTGGATTTTATAATGTACGGGGTAGTTCTCTGCTGAAAAGCACAAAGCTTCTCATTCCTCATAGCTGCAGTCTAAGCTGCTCCGCAATGGCTGCCTGGAGTTTAGCTTCCCTGGCCTTTGCCTGGACATTCGCGCGGGGCATGACGATGTAGGGAAAGCAGCGGATTGCTGATGTGTTTGCTTGTCACCTCTGCCTATCATGAAGTCCGGCTCGCAAATGACCGGCATTGCAGACTAGCGACAGACAGCACTAATTGCAGGAAATGTCTTTTTCACCCGCACATGGCATGAGCATGCTGGCTCCGAGGCTTTCTTTGACCTCTGGGAAACCATCTGGGCAAAAGCCTTTGGCCACAGTCCGCCTTTGAACGCGCTGGCCTAGAAGCTTCAACGCGATTACTTTAAGGTCGAAATTTGGTTGGCCTTCGTCCCTATCTCATGAACAGAATCGTCCAGCCATCCAAAAGCCGTGGCGGATGTCACTTTGCAGCAATGGGCAGCAGACTCGCCTGCAAGAGGGCAAGCTTCATTGCCAACGACTTCAAGGGCCATGCCAGTTCTTCCGATAGGTTCCACTCATCACCCCAAGACACAAAGCAACGGCCTCAAACCCACATGTTCTCCCCTAGCTTCACCAGCTCGGGCACCACAAACTCCTCAGCCACCATCACAGTGGAGGACATCACCCGGAAGGTCCGGTACCGGTGCCTCAGACTCACAGGACGCTACACGACTCTTCACCTCACCGACTGCTTCCATGCACCGCATGCATTTTGGCCGAGCGGCTGCTCTGCTGCAGCGGCAACACACTTGCTGGTGTTCAACCATGCCTCGGACAGCTTCCTCAGACCTACTAGATTTCCATCAAGAGAGTCAAAATGTCCAGCCCTGCCGCCTCACAGGCCCTCAAATCTGCACAGTCCTGGGTTGCTTGCAAGGCACAGTCTCCACCTGCAGGAACTTGGGCCGGTAGCGGGAAAACAGACTTCCACCGCCAGCTAAGACCTGGCACTCGTGCGCCTCCACGTCTATTCGAACCTGGCGCAATCGATGGGGTGGGTGCCTTCAGGCTGGACACTGGTTCACACCTAACATGGACGAAGTTGTGAACATTTGTGAATTCACGGGAACCTAACCAAGTGTCGTTTGGACGATTCAAGTGTTCGCAGCCATGCTCGGCACAGCCCGGGCCGCACCACGTCTACCGACTGCACGGGGTGCTGCTCCAGGACTCTGTCCAAGCTTATGACCTCTCGCGACATGCCAACGGCTGATAGGTCCAATAAAACCGTGTGAGATAGCCAACTTTGAAGATATGTGCGCCGCGATGACCATGCCCTGCTCTTTGCTCTTGTACAATCTGCATTCCACAGCCTCGGTCACCTGGCAGTTGGAGTCATCATCCTTGCAGCTAGCATTGCCGCACTGCAAGAAGCCTCAGCCATTGCTGCTCGACATGAGCAGTTTGCTGGCAGAGAATTGACCGCAATGCTGGCGTAGCTTGGAGCCTTGCCAATATGTGCTTACCGAACTTGTGAGGAGAATAATGAACAGGTGACGCAGCATTCTTCATTTTTTGAACCAGCTCCCACACTGAGTCAGATATTTCAATGTTTCTTGGCAGGTCTATGGCACTCACATGCTCAAGTTCTCAGCATGACTTGCCAAGTTGCCATTGCCAACGTTTGAAGAGTAGCTGGCACTGCGGATAACACACCTGCATGCCACCTGGCAATGTTCCCGCGTGTCGACCCCAAGCAGTAAGCACGGTAGCTGAACGCAAGCCTCCCAAGGGGCGCCCAACGCCAAGGGCAGCAGCGTCACCTCAACAGGTGTCCCAGAAAAATGGTCTTTCCCAAATTGAAATCCCCTCATGGAGAGTCCTCCCATGTGCCTTGCTGTAACTAGAGGTCAAGACATGTTTGGCGTTTCCTAGGGGGAGCAAATGCTCCTTAATCAGTCGCTCCAATCATAGGTTTCATCCCTCCGAAACAAAACAATATTTGGAAGAGGGTGGCCAAAAAGGGGCTCCTTGGCTCATGTTTGCTCTGCAGCAAAAGGAGCAACAGCTTTGGGTCTGTGCCAATCATGCCAATCGCTTTTCTGAGGCCAAAAGCCAGGATGGAATTGAGTTCCATCTACAGCAAAACCTCCAACCCCCGACAAACCGGCCCAACCCGAAAGCGCTCGCCTGCTCCCGGAGGTGCGGGTTCAAGCAAAGGCTGCCCTCCAATGCTTGCTGATTGCGTGCCATAGGCTCGATAGCAAGCACCTCGACATGTCCCATGCGTCCCATGTGTCCCACGTTTCCCCTCGTTCCCATGTGTGCACTTAACGTGTGTTTTGCTTTCTTTGACTGAACCTAACTGGCCATGGCTTTGCAAGACCTGACTATGCACTGCACCTGAAAGCCGCGGTCGGCAAAAAGCAAAGAGTAGTAGCCCAAGTTCGCGCCAATGTGCAGGAATGTTCCCGACTGGCAGCGAGCCAAATTCGGCAAACGACACAAATGCTGATGAGTGGATTGGCTTTGCTGTTCTGGCCAATTGAAAGGGCTGGTTTTGGTGGATGCATTTGTCCATTCCTTAGAGGAAGCATCAACATCATCCAGGCCTCTGGCAGCGTCGTGCGAGCCATGGCGGCCATCTCTTCAAGGCTTGTAACCTCCCAGTGGTGATTCTTGAAGAGGCTCTGCGAGATGATGTCGTTCTCCTCACTTGTCCAACCAGCTCATGGGAGGAACCAAATGTCTTTCCATGTCTACTCTCACATGCGCATCCTGCCAAGCTCTACGAAGCTCTGCCAAGCAACTCCCAGCACTGCCATCTTCAAATCCCCCAGCGCCTGAAATCCCTCCCGTGGCTCCATAGTGCATCGCTCACACGCTCAAACATGCACAACATCATGCCACGGCAGGCGTGCCTTGGCCAAGCGCATGCCCGGCGGTATGCAGCTGAGGTTCACTGCGACGCCTGCAATGCAGTTGTTTCCATCATGACAAGCCTTGTCAAACGCACAGCCGTACCAAAGTATGTAAAAGCGAAGGAGCCTGGCCCGAACTGAAAAATCCACAAGTCAGAGCCATGCAAGTGGTGGACTGCCTTGCCGACGTCTCACATCGCTGAGGCGGCAGTCTCCGGTGCAGGGACTGCTTGCGATGGACCTTGGCAACGCTCCTTGCCCACAGGGTGCCGCACTCCAAAGAAGATGCCAAACCACACGGGCAAGCCACAAAGGGCTCAAACTTCATCATGCTGTGAACTGCTGGAGCATCCATGCCAATCAAACAAAGGGACCTTCCTGACGTGTGGGTCCCTGTTGAGGGGGGCGGGCACATTTTGAGGCAAGCCCATCCCGATGAAGTATAACCAAGGAGCGGGTAGAGAGCGCTCCATGCCAAGCCCACCACAAGGATCAGCAACAGAAAGAACTTGACATATGCAGGCATGCGCAACAAGCTACCCACGAATCTGTTGTGCGATGCTGATCATATGCTTGCTTGAACGATTTCATCCGTGGTCCGTCCAGTCATGTCGCGAGTCAAAATAGGCACGTGAAACATTTTGAAAGTGCATTCGCAGGGGTTCGCTTCAAACTTGAAACAAGGTCCTGGCCGTTGTCATGTTTCTCTTGCGCTTCATTCTGTGTTTCGCCTGCACTCACCAAGCCCCTCAGCATCTCGGTCAAACAGCTGCGTTGGCACGCTTGGCATTAAAGCGAAGAGCATGTGATGGTGCAAGCCATTCTGCTCAACCCGTGGCTACCACAAAGGGGGTTCAGGCAGAAGATGTGACTTGCAATCATGGGTTGCCAACAGCAACGAGCGCAGGCCGCAAGGCATCCAAGGAATAAATTAAACTGAACCCCGAAACCTCGATGCTTCAAGTCGCATGCGAACTGGCTGGAACTGCCATACGCAAAGTGCCAGCCTTCTCGACAACCTCCACCCAGCTGCCCTGGGCAACACCCAACAGTGCTGCCTCAGCGTTACAAGGTGAAACGATGAGAACCTGGGCTGTGGAGAGCGCGGGAAACTCTGTTCTCGTTGTCCGAGGGCAATCTACAACTTGCCAAGGCACCCCCAGCAGCCGGCGAGCAAAGGCTGGCATGGCGTCGACACGTTGAACAAGGCTTGCGGCTAATAGCTGCAGGGCGGTTCTGCGGATGCAAGCACATCCAGGCAGTACTGATATTATCAAGCCCAGAAGCTAGAGTATGCATCCCTCACTCTTTCATCTGAACATCGACTTGTCTGCTGAGAGAGCGCTCTGCATCCTGGACAAGTCCACCATCCACAGCAAAGTCACACTGAATTATTGTGTTGCGATCTCACACATTGAAAGCCAGACAATGTAGCATCCCCATCCAGCTTCATAGCAAGCGATTCACAGATGTCCGAAGCTATTTCACCAGCCCAGCCTGGGGCTGGAAAAGTAGCATAGCAGGTTCTCGACTTGCCAGGCTAGTCTCTTCAAGAACTCTCACACACAACTCGTCTTTCTCGTCCCTGTTGGGGGGACCAGAGGTAGGAAAGAGCCAAACACCGCCGATAGAAGCAGACGTGGCAACTACACAGAACAAAGCAGGCCCTCCAGCCAAATATTATCAAAGAGCAATGACATCATTGAAGGCCCTGGCGCTCACCCCGGCCTTGGGATCCAGGAGTGGCCTGGCAAGCTCAAATATGGAGACTGTGCCTGAGACACTTCTCAAGCAAACACTTTACGAGTGCCTCAAGGTGTCCCGGTTAGTGCCGGCAGGTAGCTCCTGAGCAGTCATAGAATCTGTAAGGTTTCACTCGCATGCACACTCCTTGGGGAAGTCCACCTGAAACCGCACGAAGAGGTCTCCTGCGGCATAGCTGAGCAGGGGCTAGGGGCGCTAGGGGCATTCCGATGCCCAGCCCACAGCTTGAAACCTCTGAAGCTCTTCCCGACTTCGCACCTCTGGCGCGCGGGTTCTGCTTCTTGGGCATGCCATAGCCTCGCAGCACCCGGACCTCGCTGCAAAAGTCGAGTTTCTCTCTAACGGATCTAGCCCTATGAGAAAATCGAAGGCCGTCAGAGTGCAACTTACTTTCGACAGCTTTGGGTCTTGCTTCAAAGAAGATCCGAAAATTTTCTGATGGTCCTCGCAAGAGAGAGAGAGAGAGAGCAAGAAAACGGCCATATGGAAACTCCAAAACTCCGATGCTAAGAAGACTCCGCCTGCATGAAAGCTTGGTAGCATGCCGTGAGCGATCAACAAAGAACACACAGAATCCGCAATAATAGTCAAAGCAATCAGCACGTTGAGACGAGAGCCTGAGATGGCAATCAGCACATCTTTACATCTTTACTCTCTGCAAGAATGGCATGGCCTTGCCGGCCAGGCCCCCAGGCCTCTCCGGGGCGCAAGACCTTCTCGGAGCCCACCTCCAGGCTCTTCCCGTCCACGTGCCTGTGAACTCCGAAAACGGTCCACACCTCGCGGAGAACCAAACGTGAAGAAAATGAATCCGAAGCAAACGCGCGAAGGCTGAAACATTGGCAGACTCACTGACATGCAAAACCGACAAACAAATCGAGAAAGCATTCGCGTGCGACACTGGAAATCAAACTGGGCACAAGACAAATGGATGATGATAAGCACGATACACCAACTGATGAATCCTAGATGATTGACAGTTCCGTAGTCGTTCAGACATGGCGACACAGCCATGCTTCAACAACAACTGAGAAGCCCGTACCTCTTACCTTGCCAAGAAGCCCTATACCATGGTGCCAGCATTTCAGTAGTGATATGTTTAGCCAAGAGTGGCAAGGATTCATTCTCGCCAACCAAAAAAAACTGGCCCCTCGAAGCCTTGTTTCTGACCCAGGTTGGAATCCAAAAGAACGACCAGGCTCACGACAATGTCAATTCCAAAGGTGCGAACTCAACACAAAGGAGCCGGATTCGTTTGTTTGGGATCACTCACCAGTTGCTCACTCCCTTGCTTGAGAGCTCACAATGAGAACAGCTAATGTGACTTGAGACAGAAACAAAACGGTTCATTCTTGTTCAGCCAATGCAGCTGAGTGCCGCAAAGCAGTGTTTAATCCAGAGGACTTCATGGAGAGGTTTGCTTCAGCTTGCGGTTTCCGTGGCTCAGGCAACTGACTTCGGATGCAACGTTCCCCCGTTGGCCAGAGACCATGAAGCAGAGAAGCGCACCCGTTTTTGCTGCAACCACACAACCACTCGCGCTTGTCCGGCAAGCCATGGCGCAGGTTGCACCAAATGGACCAGAGAGTCTGCCTCTCAGGCCCAAGATTTGGGCAAATTCGTGCCACAAGACCAAGCCTGCCCTCTGTGAGGGCAAAGCAGCTCTGCTTGACAGAGCGCCACAATTCCAGGAGTGTGACAAGCATTCTCCGAATGAAAAGCGTTGGACACAGGGCTTGCTTGTCTTGTTCAACATGGACTGTTGGGCCCAGGATTCAGAAATGAGTGCAAGGCAAATATTGGATGAAGTGAGATAGACTTCCCCAGTCGCTAAATCCAGCAGACAGAGAAGCGAAGTTGATGTGGGTCACAAAAAACACGACTGCCATTTGGTGCAAAATCTCTTACACGGTGAAGACATTGTGCATGACGGCACGCTTGATTAAGACAAAACCAGTGGCGATGGAAAGCTCTCAGTGAACATCATTTAGGTGGGGGTTCACGTCCTAAAACCATTTGAATTGAACACTTGTAGCCACATGACATAGGGTGATGCGATGCTAGGATACACTTGGACAGTGGCGCCACCCAGGACTGCCTTAACTCTTGCATCTCAAGAAACTGGAAACAAGCTTGCATGCTTGCCAAAGTGGACAGAACGTCCGTATGCAAACACGCCGCAGTTGCAGCATGGCTAGGCGGCCATTGCGTGATTCTGAAAGCACCCCCTTACGGATGACATTTGGAAGACACATCAAATGTGTACGTACGCAAGCTGCTCTGGCAGCGTGCGAACTTCTTCCTGGCAGGTAGGCGTCAAGGTTGGAACTAAGGCTCGCGAGGCTATTGTGCAGAGCCGGCGAAGAGAACGTTTGCTGGCATGATCTGTATGCATCCGAACAGGGGTGGTGAGACCTTGTGCACTTCTGCATGCACTTCTGACTTGATGTACAGTCAAGATGGCGTGCGCTGATTTCCAGCAGCACGTGGATAGAAAAATGTTGCACATTCCACGCAGACAAGACGCGCTTGACACAAACGAACTGCCGTTAGACATAACTGGCAGCGTCATTCCCTCCGCAGCGTCACGCACCGCAGCTTGAATCGCGCGTTCAGCTCCTGAATTGTTTAGGTGAAAGAATGTATCTGGCTTTGGCATGGAGGGTAAAGGCTATCGTCTAGTTTCTGGCATAGCGGCAACACACACGCACACTGTATCATGATCAACAACCCACCATGAATGGACAGTCGCAACCGGGCCGCGGAAAACGTTGCCGCCATCGCGGACAGTCAACACCCACAACGGGATTCCCAATGACCCCGGCAAACGTGGTCATGTACTGCGTGCCAACATTTCAATGCCCTCGCATACTGTGAGCAAAGTCTCCACCACGTCGGAATGCAGGATCTTGTCTCCTCCGGGGGCATGGCTTGGGATTTTGGATACCTGCCGAATGCCAGAAACGGGACTATAAAATATATCTAGACGACGCGTTACCAGGAAGCACACCACCATCGAAACTAGTTGCCCCGGGCTGCCTCGAGCTCCCCCTCCCTCGAATCCAGCAACCAGCATCCCGCACAAGTGCCAAAACTGCTTGTATAAGCTGTTGAATCTGCTGATGTTGTCCAGCTTCCCTCGGAAGCGAGCAAGCATCCAAGGCAAGCATTCGAGCAAGCAAAGAAGCGTTCAAGCAAGCAAGCAAGCAAGCAAGCAAGCAAGCAAGCAAGCAAGCAAGCAAGCAAGCAAGCAAGCAAGCAAGCAAGCAAGCAAGCAAGCAAGCAAGCACGCAACGTGATGCAATTTTGCTTTCCAGCTGCGGGACTGTATCTTGCAAAGCAAATTCGTACTTTCAAGAGTTGCAAGCACAATGCGCTGTTGACAGGCAGCTGCGAACGTATACTTCGCGCACTGTTTGCGTACTCGAAAGTTACACTTTCCCAAACTCCAGCTGCGGGAGCTTACTCCGCGTAGTACTCTCGTAGTCAAAACTCGCAATTACTGAGCTCACGCCAAGGAGTGTGCTTCGCGTTCTGCTTTCGTACTCAAAGCTCGCAATTTTTGTTTGGTTGCAAACGAGTCACATTCGAAGACCAGACTCCAAATTAAACAATGCCTGTGTAAAACAAAAAGCGATGCTCCGGCTGGTCCCTCCTGAGTTTTCAAGGTGCGGCTTCAGAATCAGCGGCTGATCCAGAACCCAGTCCTGCAGCAATTCCAAAGGGGTCCAACGCAAGAGCTCAAGAAGGCAGCAATGAATAGAATTCATACTCATGCGTCTGTGA